CTTCGAAGTCAAGCACAGGTTTGACAGATATTTCCCCTGAATTAATTCACCATAACTGTGCGCATGTGCACAGCGGTTTACGTGGTATGAACAGGAACTAAATCTTGGATCGGAAGAGAGTGCGCAAGATCGAACTCAACTGACTGATCAGCCACTCTGCTGTGACCTAGGTAATCTGCCAACGTCCTGAGTGTGATTGGGTGTATTCTGTTCTTGGTTTATTGTGTTTCATTTTCTGGCCACATTTTCTCAGGCTCCTTAAACTGCGATATGCATTGTTATGGATAAAGCCGAATAATTTACGATACCAGTGTGTTTGATTTTTCTAGTCAAATAATATATGTATATATATGATGAAAACTGGTGGTAAGCCTCCAAACAACTTATTATTGAATGTGAATTATTGTGCCCACTATGCAAGTTACCATTCGGAGTCTGTGCAAACGTTGGTATTACTCAAAGTTTACTCTCGGGAAAAAATACACTTCTTCAGTTTAAAAACAGTCGAAAACAACAGTGAGTATCTGTTCCCCATTCCACGCATACCGACCGTGTGTGGTGGGGGGGGGAGAGAACGAACGTGAATGTGTTTCGAGGCTGTCGGACAACTCCACGCATGAGCAACTTCAAAAGAACGCGTTCCGTAACCGGAACAATATGGTTGTCAGCGGGAAAGGTTTGCTGATGGAACTTTTTCGTCCCCCCAATTCGGATAAACGAGAACAATATCAGACCGGGATGAAAACGAGAACCAAATTGGATGGATACATTTGTCGAACGGGACCTTTTTGCTACAGGTGGGTGTTTATAAATTGAATCCAGAGCACACCTGAACAGTTGTTGTTGTTACCCTTCCACTTACGCAAACCATGCAAACGTTTCGTTAAACTTTCACGCAACAGAAAGCCCGTCAACCAAGTAGCAGTTTGATCTGTTCTGTTTCATCAGTGTAGCCTGTAGTAGTGAATCTGTCATAAGTATGGCTTTTAGTTTTCATTGATATTGACTCAAAACTTCTCTGACGAGAACATGTTCCACATTTTACTCCAGGGTATCAGACAGTATACGTCTAGAATCAGTGATCAAACGCATACAGTAATCACGATAGGGAACCAGACTTCATGAATTCCGATTTCTCCACCGCTCAACATTGGCCTCGTTTTTCCTTTTTGTCCGAAGCACACTATGATTGGCGAAGGCCCACTTCTGAAAAGCCGACTGTACAACTATGCATACATTTACTGAATTAAAACAACTCATTACAGTAATAATATCACTATTGTGTATTATGTTTATCGATAGCTTTGGTGAACAACAAGCCCTGATTTGCAAGAACACAAGAACAAGCATCTACACGCAAATTACCACAATAAATCGCATGTCAAAAGAAACGGGCTTCTTCAAAACCCCAAAAGCCTCAGATGGTCGGGAGTGGGTGTCTAGGATTGTGGCTGGTCACCCTTCCCACCTCGCGAAATGCTCCCATACGACTAAGCGTCTCCAATAGCCTCTGCTGAGGAAGCCCTACTCACTGCATTCTCCTGGCGGTGTTTCCCACCAAGGTGAGAGGACGAAAAGCCGATATCCGGGGTTTTCACCGGGTTGGTGGACCATTGGAAATTCACCTAGGGGAGTTGGCCAAAAACCCTGGTTCCAAACCAACCACGAGGCCGAGTAGGAACCACACACAACTTCCTGGTTGTGGCAGTAGTGACCGGCTCCATTAGGCATAAAGGTATATTTGGCACCTTGGACGTTTGACCCCGTCCAAAGGGCGTATGACCCGATGAACTGGAGACCGAACCCTAATGGATTGCGGTTTTTGCAAACTACCCCGCTGCCCTGCGGATCAAACTTTGGCTAGCCAAAGGCTCCGGTCGTGGATTCCCCAAGAGAATTCAGCGGCCCTGGCTTCGGTAACCTGGCAGTATTCCGCCAACATGCAAATCATCGAACGCCTTTATTTTTCGTAAAGATTATTGTACCATGATTTGTTCGGCACACAGTCTGGATTCAGACGTGTGTGAAAATAAATAAAATATAACCCCAGTTGTTTAGCTGCTCTAAGTTACATTGCACCTTTGTGTGATTCGCTTTGTGGTACGAATACAAAGTCAGTTATCTTTATTTCGAAACCTTCTCACGTCTAGGACGTCTCCAGCGTCCTAGGCGTTCCTCTTCTCTTCCAGTTACCTCTGGTGTGTTTCCAGGTATCTTTCTCCAATCAATTCTCTTCTTCTCGATGTACAAAAATCTTTCCAATCCCCCGTAGTTTATTAGTTATGAGTACGTCGACAATGTTCTGGGTGCATGTCTTTTTCGGAATTCCTGATTTGACAAATCGTGTTCTAGATGCCCTACGTATTACTCATTCAAAATACGCATCCTCCAAGGCAGCACATTACATCTCGGCCTATTTAGGCGATCTACCGTCCCAGACAGTTTCCGGTTATCTCGATCTACCACCAACTTGGCGTAAATTTTATCAACAGTCTCTTGTAGTCCCATTTAATTTATGGCTTAGCTACAGCTCGCAAACTACGGTTATCACCATACACAGAAACGTTCCAGTCCACTATCATCTGTTATTCGACTTGGATATAGTGATGTACTCACCAAAAAAACAAGGATTTAGTTGGACTTTTCATACCTTATAAAGTTCCCTCTCGAACCAGTTGTTGTTACTGTGTTCTTTTGTAAGCAAACAATTTGATGAGCGTCTGTTGTCAAAACCAACCACTTTTTACAAAGATATTCTTGTCCGTTCGAAGTATCCAATCCGCTTTCATTTTCGTCCGCCAGTTCGACGGTTCCTATGGTTTTAACAGTCAGCATTTTACTAGAATAGCTCCAGAGCATGATTAGGTATGAACAAAAATAAGAGTTGAAAAAGTAGTAGAGATTCCATGGAGGAACTGAACATAACACCCTTCTGTGGAAGAAAAAGGCATTCACTAAAGTGGCCGGGAAAAATGAGACTGACCACGAACCAGCCGGTTTCCATTTGATACCACCAACCTGAGTTGTGCAAACAGAAACAACACTGAACTAGTTTAGTTGTATCATATGACTTGATTATTTTCAGATCATATGAGAGCACAGCGGCTTGCTGCATTGAATATCGGATTGCCTAGTACGTTAAACTACCACATTTCACGTTCTTCAATGAACACCGCCATATTAACACATTGCAACCGGATCTATTTTCCAAGCTTGAGAATATGCAGTTGAAAAATACACCCACTTCACCTTATCCTCTCAACAAAATACTTTTTCGGAGTTTGCTTTCAAATCTCTCACATTTCAATAATAGTTCGAAAATGCATAAATCGTCAGTCACCATCCAAAAAGTGTTTTTATGGGTTTTACGTTAGATCGATTGTCAGACAAACTTTATTCCCTCCAATTGGTAACTGACGCCGTGCGTGAACACACAAACAAACAAACAACTGAGAATCAGTCTTTCGAAACTCGCCAAGTGAATACATAAACTGGCTTGATTGATTTTATCAATCAAGACAAACGTACTATGCTTGATCGGAAAGAAGGGGAATTCTAACTGATTCGGACGACTTGGCGCGCAAATAACAGCACTGTTTCACGCTCGAGTTAAATGCCCTCGTTCGTGTTCCCTCATCAATCACGCATTTCAAACTATTACGGACAGATTCACACTGAATCAATAACGTATGCTCTTCAAGGTCATCCGTTGCTGTTAGTTAGTTAGTTAGCGCATGGTTTAAATGAACGAACAGACCGTGAAGTCGCAAGCCCGAACAAATGTTGTACGTAAAAATGGAAGAACAAGTGGCTACAACTACCGGATGACTGTCCAGAATTGTTGATATTGGTGAATGACGAGTACACCGTTTCTTTAAGTTCCAATATCATACATTGAAGAGCACAATGCTTTCTTGTGATAAGAACTGTCCATCGTTCTCTACCATTCTTCTGTGCATCACCGGATTTCTTTTAACAGATGGGGAACAGTTAAGATGAAAATATGCATGACTGAGGTCGTGTATAATACGAAATTCATCTCCTTGCTTAGTGCATTTCATATCTAAGGTCTCAAACATCGCCAAGAGAATGTGCCTTCAAACATTCGGAAAACCAAATATGACCCATATCCTTCATCCCAACGACTCACCTGCATTGACTGACCTTAGTCAAACGAACTAAATGAAAATGATAGCATTTGAGAAATTATTTCTAATTATTTTTTAGAATTTGGACTGGCTAAGAACGCAATGAAAGGAGAAGAGTAATAGACTTTTAGGCCAAACGTTTGCTAACTTTTTTACTTGACTGGAAAACCAAATTTTTGAGTAGGTCACCGTTTGAGTAGACAGTTTATCTAATCTGTCCTTTCGCCGAAAATATCAGACCGGGTTAAGATAGCGAAAAAACGTTTGCAACTAGTCAAACAATCGTTATAAGCAATAAATAAATAGTTTTCCTCCCTTTTGTTATTCATTATATATAGAAATGTACAGTCAAATTTCAGTAACAGTGCCTCAGGTATGTAAAAGCTACCTGGGGAGTACAGAAACCAGATACACGGGTGGCGGCGGCAGCATAATTCGGACTCAGGACTTTCGTTTCACGAATAGGAAGATTTCAACAACTTGACCAACGCCAACCGAGAATACCAATATGATTTAGTGGCAACGCATGTTAAAATTTAGTCCCAGGACCGTGGTGGAACTTACTCGGCTTGGTGGACCGCTGATGTCGATCAGGCTATCATCGTCATCTTCATCAGCGTCATCACCATCATTCCCATCCAGGTGTCGAATGTGATTTCCATTGGTTAGCTGATCGTTGATCAGATGCGTCTGATTATTACTGGTGCCTGACACCGGATGACTCACTACTACAGCTCGACCGCTGACAGGGACACTACGTCCCGAGGTAATGGCCAACATTGGGCTTTGTGTGTTTTGCGGTCGAGCAGCCAGACGAAGTGCTCCAGTCGGATGTGCCCCATGATAAGAGCTGAATCGAACACTGGCCAAATCTAATGCAGCAGCATCTGACATCATCTCTGATCGTAGGGCGCGTATTCGATAGCGCTCGAACCGTTCATATCTGGGCGTCCGTGCATCCGTTCCAAGTGGGAACGAACCGGGTGAAGGAGAAGAAAAAGGAATGTGATGAGGAGAAATGAGCTCATGCGCTTTGTTCATGGTAAAGAGTACTGGAAAACTATACATGTTTGGCATGGAGTTTCAAAATGATCGACTTGATCGAGTTCAAGTAGAGAATAATCCGTTAGCGATTTGCTGTTTTTTTGAGTAAACAATCAAAACAATGCATTCGGAGAGCTATTAGGCATTGGTGTACTGCTCGTCCACCACCAGACATTCGTCCGGGAGAAAAGAAAAAACACCAAAACGACGGTGGACGCTATTTGAATTCACTGGAAAAAATAATGCATGTCCTTATTTGTCAGGGTTTTTAATAACGGCTTTATATCGGATAACCTCAGCTGCTATTCCTTTCTCAACGTTGGCATGCAACAATTGCGGTTAATCCTACCAGAATATCCTCGATTTCGATTGCTTGCAACTCTTCTCAGATGCGACCGAATCTTGTCATCTGCTCACTTCGATGTGGTCGGTTTTATTTTGTCTCAAGATTGTCTTGCAGAAAACACTTCCTTAGTCATACAACAAATTGTGTCAATGTCTACGTTGGAGTTGTAGAAATCCAGGACTGAGAGGCCAGATTTATGCACCGCTCTAATAAATTATTCCTTTGCTTCATTTATATACCGAACATTATTGAATGTTTCATTCGTTTTGGGCACGATGACATTACACCACGTCTATTTAACGAGTCGCACACCTCGGGCTGGACCTTAGAAGGTTTACCTCCATACTTCTTGGAGTATATTTTTATCGCCTTAATGTCCAGGGATTTGAACTGGGCAATTTGTGGTCACATACTTTGTTCAATTTAATTTTGATAACGAATGATCATTCATTGGTGCATTTACTGTGCATCCTATCGGAAAAGATACGGAATTGTCCACAATAAACACCCCAATGAAACAGCAGACATTCATTAGAAAGAATGCATTAGCATGCTGCTCTGTATCAAATATTTTCTAATTTTCAGCTAACTTTTTAATTGATAGAAATTTTAGCGTGACCCGTAAGGTCGCACCAATTTCAACAGTGATGCAACAGAATTGAAAACCTCAAAGCAGGATACAAAATTCGAAATCAATGCTTTTCACATAGGGCTGTCGACATAAAGTATGATACTGGAAACCAGAACGATTTCTAGATTGAGGAATATGCCGTATGAGTTCGACCAATACCTGTATTTAATCACCACTCGGGTCTGAATGCGATAAGCGAAACTCGCTTCCCCGCATCTCGATGAATTGTGATGATGGAACAAGCAATCGGCTGATTGTTTGAAAAAAAAAGATTTTTTTTTTAAATAGGCGTCAGATTATTCTGAACAAAATATCTCGGACCGCACAAAGATATGATGGTTGAT